TACTCTAAAATGTAATGTATTGTTTTTCAGTTTTACTTTTTAAAAAATATCTTCACCTAGGCCGGGCGTGGTGGCATACCTGTAATCCCAGTGCTTTGGGAGGCCAAGGCAGGCATATCACTTGAGACCAGGAGTTCAAGATCAGCTTGGCCAACATGGCAAAACCCCGTCTCTAACAAAAAATACAAAAATTTAGCCACTGTGATGGTGCATGCCTATAATCCCAGCGACTCTGAAGGCTGAGGCAGGAGAATTGCTTGAACCCAGGAAGTGGAGGTTGCAGTGAGCCGAGATTGGGCCACTGCACTCCAGCCTGGGTGACAGAGTGAGACTCTTGTCAAACAAACAAACAAACAAAAAATACCTTAACCTAGCTCCATCTTCTAAATGAGTCCAAATCTCTGAAGTGAATGCTTACAGATGATTTTGATATACAACCAGAGATTAGATAGGTATTAAATGTTACTGGGGGCACAGAAGGAAAGATATGTTGATGTGTTACTACTGTTAGGTATAAAAGCACAAAGAAATAGAAGAGTTTCTGAGCTTAGTATATGTGGAAGAAATTATATACAAATCAATTGGTGAAGTACTAAGGCTTTGATGTATGAACAAATGAAAAGGAGTAGATAATTCAAATGGAAGGATATGTTAGAGAGATCCAAGATGGCTGATCACTAGCAGCTCAGGATTGTAGTTCCCAGTGAAAGCACAGAGAACGAGAGGACGCCACACTTTCAGACAAATTTTTGTTGCTCACGCACCAGGAGATTCCCAGCGGAGAAGCCCCATGGATTGCCAGCGTGACTCTTGTGGCCGGTGAGGCGGTTTTGCCGCTGCCTTAGTGTGGCGGTTCTTGATGCAGAGTCAGAAAAGCACCATCAATCTTAACGCCGCTGTTTTGGCCGGCGCAGTGGGTTGCTCAGATTTTGGCGCTGGGAATCAACAAGTTGGACGTCCACTCAGAAACCCAGTTATAAAGACGGTAATTATAAAGACCACAGATGGATAAATCTATAAGGAAGGGAAGAAATCAGTCTAAAAAGGCTGAGAATACCCAAAATCAGAATGCCTCTCCCTCTACAGGGGATCACAGTTCCTCATCAGCAATGAAACAAGGCCTGATGGAGAACGAGTGTGTTTCTTTAACAGAAGCAGGCTTCAAAAGGTGGATGATAAGAAACTTCTGTGAATTAAAAGAACTTGTTCTAACCCAATGCAAAGAAACTAAGAACTTTGAAAAAAGGTTTGACGAAATGTTAACAAGAATACACAATTTAGAGAGGAATATAAGTGAATTAATGGAGCTCAAAACTATAACACGAGAACTTCGCGAAGTATGCGCAAGTTTTAACAGCCGAATCGATCAAGCAGAAGAAAAGATATCAGAGGTCGAAGACCAACTTAATGAAACAAAAGGAGAAGACACGATTAGAGAAAAAAGGATAAAAAGGAACAAGCAAAGTCTCCAATAAATATGGGACTATGTGAAAAGACCTGATCTACGTTTGATAGGTGTACCTGAATGTGACGAAGAGAATCAATCCAAGCTGGAAAATACGCTTCAGGATATTATTCAGGAAAACTTTCCTAACCTAGCAAGGCAGGACAATATTCAACTCCAGGTAATACAGAGAACACCACAAAGATATTCCTCAAGAAGACCAACCTCAAGGCACATAATCGCCAGATTCACCGGGGGTTGAAATGAAGGAGAAAATACTGAGGGCAGCCAGAGAGAAAGGTCAGGTTACCCATAAAGGGAAGCCTATCAGACTCATAGCAGATCTCTCAGCAGAAACCCTACAAGCCAGAAGAGAGTGGGGGCCAATATTCAACATCCTTAAAGAAAAGAACTTTCAACCCAGAATTTTACATCCAGTCAAACTAAGCTACATAAGCGAAGGAAAAATAAAATCTTTTGTGAACAAGCAAGCACTCGGAGATTTCATCACCACCAGGCCTGCTTTACGAGAGCTTCTGAAAGAACCACTACACGTAGTAGTATCAGCCTAACAACCAGTATCAGCCTTTCTAAAAAATACCAAAAAGAGCATCAACATAATCAAGAATTTACATCAACTAATGGGCAAAACAGCCAGCTAACATTAAATGGCAGTATTAAACTCACATATATTATTATTAATTCAAATTTAAATTGACTAAATCCCCCAATCCAAAGACACAGACAGGCAAAAAAAGCCAAAACCCATCGGTATGCTGCATCCAGACCCATCTTACATGCAAGGATACACAAAGACTCAGAACAAAGGGATGGAGAAAGATTTACCAACCAAATGGAGAGCAAAAATAAATAAATAAATAAAAAGCAGGAGTTGCAATTTTTGCCTCTGATAATAAGACTTCAAAGCAACAAAGATTATAAGAAGCAAAGAAGGATATTACATAATGATAAAAGGATCAATGCAACAAGAAGAGCTAAAGATCCTAAATATATACGCACCCAATACAGGAATACCCAGATATATAAGACTTATAAACAGACTTAGACTCCCACACAGTAATAGTGGGAGACTTCAACATCAATATTAGACAGATCAATGAGACAGAAAATTAACAATGAAATCCACGATTTGAACTCAGATCTGGAACAAGTAAACTTAACATTTATAGCTCCACTTTAAATACACAAAATATACACTCTTATCAGTACCATATCACAGCTATTTACAGATTTAAATGAAATATTGGTAGGCTACTTGTTTGCTATTTTCTTCCCTAATTTTTTTTTTTTCATGTCTCTATTATTAAGCACAATTATAGGCATACCCATTTTTAGACTGCATTCTAGTCCGGGCAATAAAGCAACACCCCCATTCTATCTCCCTCTTCCTCTTCTTTCCTGTCCTTCATTTTTTTTATTATTCTTTTTTTTTCTTTCTTTCTTCTTTTTTTTTTCTTTTTTTTTTAAAAAAAAGAAAATGTTAATGACTAAATAAGTATGTGAAAAGATATTCAGCCTCCTAGTTATGAGAAATTTTTGCTTCTCATGTGAGCTGAAATTTAAAAAATTCCCAAAGATATGGCTGCCTTGATATTGCTAGGGGGAGTATAAATCCATGCAATTGTTTTGAAGAGCATTCTGGCAATATATATCAAGAGCCTAAATATGCTCATGTCCTTTGACCCAGTAATTCTGCTAATAGAAATATATCCCAAGGAAAAGTCATAAATACAGAAAATATGCCCAGAACTACCTGAGATATTACTTATGGTAGTAGAAAATTATAATGAATATATTTGTTCAACATTAAGGAGATGATTAAGCCAGAAATGACATATCTATATAGTAAAACATGCTTACCAATTAAAAGTGAGATTTGTGAATTCTTGACACTGTAATGTGCTTATTATAATGTAAAATTGAAAAGCAGAATGTAAAATTACATATTTAACGTGATGAATCATGTCTCTAAATGGCACAAATAAAATGATGATTATGTCTGGGTTTTGTCTGGGTGTTGACATAATTGGTGATTTTTATTCTTATTCATACCCTTTGTCTGATTTTCACAACCTTCCTACTGAGGATCTATTGACTTAATATAAAAGTATTTTTTGCCGAGCACAGTGGCTCATGCCTGTAATCCCAGCAATTTGGGAGGCCAAGGCAGATGGATCACCTGTGGTTGGGAGTTCGAGACCAGCCTGACCAGGTTGGAGAAACCCCGTCTCTACTAAAAATACAAAATTAGATGGGCATGGTGGCGCATGCCTGTAATCTCAACTACTGGGGAGGCTGAGGCAGGAGAATCACTTAAACCCAGGTGGCAGAGGTTGTGGTGAGCCGAGGTCACACCATTGCACTCCAGCCAGGGCAACAAGAGCGAAACTTGGTCTTAAAAAAAAGTATTTTTAGAAAAAATTTAAATTGGAGATGTTTAGTCTTTTTATTTCAGTGCTCTTGGAGACCTGTTGTGAGTAATTATTATAAAAATAAATGTTTTGGCTAGTTGCAGTGGCTCACGCCTGTAACTTTGGGAGGCCAAGGCAGGTGAATAACCTGAGGTCAGGAGTTCGAGATCTTCCTGCCCATCATGGTGAAACCCTGTTTCTACTAAAAATACAAAAGTTAGC